AGCGCCAACTCCAGCACCCTAAGAAGCACCAGCGCCAGCAGATCCACGAGCGCCAACACCCCCAGCAGCTCCAGCTCCAGCAGCTCCAGCAGCACCAACTCCAGGAGGACTGTCAGCTCCAGTACCGCCAGCAGCTCCAGCAGTACCTCCAGCAGGACTAACGCCAACAGCCCAAGCAGCACCCCCAATCCCAGCAACAACAGTAGCACCTCTAGCTCCAGTAGCACGGCTCCAGCGCCGGGCAAACTACTCGCGCAACTCCTGCGGAGAGAGTAGCTCACGCCTCGACGAAGCACCGCCAGAGGCCACACGAGCAGACTCAGCACCCTCAGGCTCCGCACCCCCAGGCTCTGCACCCCCAGGCTCCGCACCCCTAGGCTCAGCACCCCCAGACCCGGCACCCGCAGGCCCAGCGCCCCTAGCAGCACCACAGTCAATAGCTACCTCGACAGGCTCGACTGCGTCTACCTGGGACACACCTGACGGGGCAGGACCCTGAGGGGGGAGGGGGTCTACCGGGGGAGGACCTAGCGCAAGGAAGAGCGGCGGCGGGGGGAGGGGCGCAGTGCGGTAGGGGAAGAGATGGTAATAAGGCAACGACTCGTCAAAGGTGACGTCCTGGGAGGACAGAACACGGCGCGAGGTGGGGTGGTAGAAGTGCCAACTAGGCGCGTCAGGGGGGGAGCCAAGGAAGACGCAGGGAACAGCACGGGGGGACAGTTTGTCCGCAGACAAGTCGCGGACAGACGCCCGAGATCCCCAGACCTGAAACGCAGACGCATCGCCAACCTTCCCAGTCCACCGCAAGGTGGGGGAGGTCTCAAGTAAGGAGACCCGGGGCTGAAGGTTGAGCTGATGCGCTGCGTACTGAACCGCAAACGTCCACAGAAAATGGGGAGCAGCCGTATGGATCATGGACGTACGAGCGACATCCATGACCATGCCAATGTGGCGCTCAGCAATCCCATTTTGTTGTGGAGAGGCCGGAAGCATTAAGGTCTGGCGGATGCCCTGTGCACGACAGAAGGCTCCCAGACGGGCAGAGGAAAACTCTCCGCCTCTGTCAGAGTGCAGACGCAGAACAGGAAAGTCCGAGCCGAAACTCTCTCTGAGCTGGAGACGAGCTGCGTGGATCCACTCGATCAACACCTCAGTGAAGTCACCCTTGCTGCGGAAGGGGAACACCGTGGTGTAACGCGAGTAGTCGTCAACCACCAACAGGAAGTAACGCTCGTCACCCTAGCCACAGACGCGGGCAGGGCCCCACACGTCCATGTGAAGAGTCTGCAGGGGAGCCTCTGTCGGAGGAAACTCGGAGGAGTGAGGAGCAGCGCGCTGCCGCCCCTCGACGCAGGGGACACAAGAAGGGGCAGGCCCCGGAGGTGGGGGAGGGAGGGACCGGGGGAGACCAGAGACAAGGACACAGGAGGCCATGCCTCGGAGACGAGGCAGGGAGGGGTGACCAAGGCGGTGGTGCCAAAGGAGAGTCTGGTGGGACAGGAGACGATACGAGCAGGGCGCAGACTCAGGACCAGACCTGGACGCTGCAGCAAACACCTGACTCGACGCAGCCACCTAGCCAGACTCAGCAACAGGAGGAGACTCAGTGGTCAGTGTGTACAAGCTTGACCCCGGCTGACGGGTAAACATGGCCAAGTGTCGGCCCGTCCGAGCACACGTACAGTGGGTCACCCGCTGACTCGCAGGTGTGAACTGGTCAACCCCTCGATCCTGTAGATCAGCTCCACTCACCAAGTTCGTAGAGAACGAGGGGAGGTAGAGACCTGACAGAGTGCCAGAGGGGGCTGCCGGACACGGTTAAACAGTGGAGAAGCTAGCAAGGACAGGACCCCTAGAGGGGTCCGCCAAGGAGACCGCAACCGGCCGACTGAGCGGCGTAAGGGTGGTGCGGTCTCGAAAGAAGGAGCGGGAAGCACCCGAGTCAAGGGTGAAGGTGTGCAAGGCCTGAGCCGACGTGGTACCTGAGAGAGCAGACTCACCAGCACCTGGGGCAGCAGACGCACTAGCACCTAGAGCAGCAGCCTCACCAGCACCTAGAGTAGCAGCCTCAATGCCCGGGTCAGGCGTAACACACAGGTAACAGTCACCCTCATCACTAGTAGACACAGCATACATGGCAGCAAGAATAGCATCAAAGTCAAGATCAAAGATAGCTACCCCTGCCCTAGACAGCTCTCCCCAGCGAGGGACCTCAGTGGCGTCAGGGAACTGATGACGCCAAGCGTCCGTCAGGCGGCCGAAGTAGCGCTGGGTGGAGTGCGCGCCCCCGCACTGCTCACCAGCGCGGTCGCCTGTACGGAGAACGTAGGTGCAGGGACCACGTCCCCCACCCCGCTGACGCCCACCGTACCACTCACGAAGCTGCTGAGGGGACAGGGTCTCACGACCGCGCTGCTGCTGCTGGCGCGGACCACCACCGGAGCCACTCCTCTGCGCAGAGCCGCGACCAGCTCCATCGCCACCTCCGCCGCCTCCGCCACCACCGCCACCTCCGCTCCCTCCGCCATCGCCGCCGCCTCCTCCACCTCCACTGCTGGCACCGACACCTCCGGCCCCGCCACCACTCCCACCACCACCCCCACCCCCTCTACCGCCTCCACCTCCACCTCCACCGGCCCCACTGGCCCCCCCAGCGCCCTTGCCCCCCTTGCCCTTGCCGGTGCGGCGCTTCCCGCTAGGGACAGACGCAGCGCCGACCGACTCAAAACCAACGAGGCCGGCCGCTGCAGCAGAAGCAACAGAGGGCAAGAGGGGGGAGGGAGAACACCCCTCAAAGACCGGGGTGCGAGGGTCACCACGAGAGGCTCCTACAACGACTATGCTCTTCTCTGCTGCTAGGAGGCACTCCTCGAGGAGGTCAACAGTGAGTGCGGTGGGGCAAACTGAGAGGAAGTGGTCCCTGACTAAGCGAAGGGAGTCAGGGAGCCGGGTGACTATGTAGTAGAGGGTGATGTACATAGGGGGGGGGGTTCTTGGCACAGAACTCAGCGCGAAGCGCAGCGCGGTAGCGAGTGTCACTAGTGCGAAGGTGTGTAATGAGGTCAGCGACTGTGGGAAAGGCAGCAAGGTCAGGGAACAGGTACGGTAGCATGAGGCGGCTAAGAGCTGCAGTGGAAGGGGAAGAGTAGCGTGCAGCTACAGCGTCGTACAAGGTCTTAGCACTCTTGTACTGGCTAAAGTGCGCACGCTCAGTGGTCGGTAAGTGGCGACGCACAGCAAGGCGTGCAGCAGCATCGCGCGTGGCCCTCTGTGAGCGAACAGTGCTGTCAGCAGTAGCAAGTGGGGCAGGAGAGACACCAGAGTTGAGATCGAATAGTGAGAGTCCGTCCGCCCTATTGCACTTTAAGAACAGCTGGAGGTCATCGACCCAGACCTCAAAGTCAACAGAACGACCCTCAGTATCAAAGGTAAGAACACTGGGGGTAGCCATGACTGCACTGGCCTATCAGGGAGTGAGCTCACCAGTCCAAGGAAGTAGGGCCGGGGCCCGCCGGAAGGAAGGGCGGCTCGGCGGCTCGGCTGCTCGGCTGGTCGGCGGCTCGGCTGCTGGACGGCTCGGGTGCTCGGCTGCTGGGCGGCTCGGCGGCTCGGCTGCTGGGCGGCTCGGCGGCTCGGCTGCTGGATGGCTCGGCGGCTCGGCTGCTGGGCGGTGCGGCTGCTCGGCGGCTCGGCTGCTGGGCGGCTCAGCGGCTCTGCTGCTGGGCGGCGCGGCGGCTTGGCTGTCGGGCGCCTCGGCAGCTGGGCTGCCGGCAGCGTTGAAGGGGCCGGTAGAGACGGCGACGGGGCCGTGAAGGGGGGGGGGGGGGCGGCAACGGGGCCGCTGAGGGCGGCGACCGGGCCGCTAGGGTCGGCTACGGGGCCGGTAGGGCGGCGGCGGGGCCTGTAGGGTTGGCGACGGGGCCGCTGAGGGCGGGGACAGGGCCGCGAGGGTCGGCAGCGGGGCCGGTAGGGTCGGCGACGGGGCCGCTTAGGGCGGCGACGGGGCCGGTAGGGTCGGCGACGGGGCCGCTTAGGGCGGCGACGGGGCCGGTAGGGTCGGCGACGAGGCCGCTGAGGGCGGCGACGGGGCCGATAGGGCGGCGACGGGGCTGCTTAGGGCGGCGACGGGGCTGCAAGGGTCGGCGACGGGGCTGCAAGGGTCGGCGACGAGGCCGTTGAGGGTGGCGACGGGGCCGATAGGGCGGCGACGGGGCCGCTTAGGGCGGCGACGGGGCCGCAAGGGTCAGCGACGGGGCCGATAGGGCGGCGACGGGGCTGCTTAGGGTGGCGACGGCGCCGCAAGGGTCGGCGACGGGGCCGATAGGGCGGCGACAGGGCCGCTTAGGGCGGCGACGGGGCTGCAAGGGTTGGTGACGGGGCCGGCAGGGCGGCGACGGGGCCGCTAGGGTCGGCTACGGGGCCGCTCAGGTCGGCAACGGGGCCGGCAGGGCGGCAACGGGGCCGTGAGAAGGGCCAAGCGGGGACGTGAAAGGGGCCGCTAGGGGCCTTAGGAGGGCGGGACGGGCCGCTAAGGGCTATGGGCGCAACGGTAGGGAGGGCGCACGGGGCGCGACTCGAGTAGGAGCAAAGCGCGCTCCGCGCAGGAAAAAAATATCGTGGTGGGCCCTAGGAAGCCTTCCCACTAGGGAACCTGCTCTATACCACGTGAAGAAAGTAGGAATGAGTGATTGCATTGAGTAGCACGAGGAGTACAAGTAGGAAATCCTAAAGTGTTGTACTCCATATTGACTACCCCACTACAACCTAAACAGACTATAGCATATAAGTTCGACACAATCTCCTTCGCCGTGCCGTTAATTGCGGTTGTAGCCGCTGTGCCGTTGCATGCCGATGCAGCCCCTGTGCCATTGCTCGCCACTCCACCCACTATATCGATGCATGCCGCTGCAGCCGCCGTGCCGTTGCATGCCGCTGCAACCGCCGTGCCGTTGCATGCCGCTGCAGCTGTTGCACCATTCCTTGCTGGCCCCGGTTTCAGGTCAAGGCAGTGAAGGCGATGGCGGAATCGTGCCGTTGCAGCCACTTGACCTCTTGATGCGATGATGCGAGTGACACCTTCCTCGGTTTGTAGCTTTGCTCCCTTGTCTAAGAGCTGCCCAGGGGAGACCAAGTTGGCCTTCATTCCTGGCACAAAGAGGACATCATGTAGGGTCACACGCAAGCCGTTAGTGCCCTCCAGCAAAACCTCACCAACACCGGCAACTTCCTGCATAGAACCATCGAACCCTTTGACTGATTTTGTTGCAGATGGGTCACGGATCACCGTGAACCACTCCTTGCGGCCGGTCATGTGTTGGGAGCATCCTGAGTCAATGAACCTCAAGTCCTTGTCGTCGGCCAGCAACTTTGCAGCCGAACATGCGACGGTGAGTGCCATGCCCTTCCCGTCTCCTTCAGCAATGTTAGCGGCTGCCACGGGCGTTGTATCTTTCTTCTTGTTGGGGCACTTGGCAGCCATGTGCCCCTCCTCATTGCAGTTGTAGCAGCGCCCCTTGAAGGGGGCTCGCTTCTTCTCCTGCTTGCCATCCTTCTTCTTGTCCGTATGCTCCCTTCCCCCTTTTACTTCCTTCCCGTTGACCCCCGTTGTAGCCACGATGGTGTTGACAGCGCCCGAGAAAGCAGATGCATCGCTGGTGATCTGCTTGTAACTCTGTTCGATGGATAGAGTCTGCTCCTCCATTAACACCTCGCTGCACATGCGTTCCACCGTCATGTCCGGGCTGGAAATATCGAGCTTGCGGCGAAGAAATCCGTACTCCGGTGGAAGGCCCTTTAGCACGTGGGCGGCAAACGTGGCCATATGGACCTCCTGTCCAATGGTCAGCAGCTCCGCTCGGATGGTGCGGGCCCTATTGCAGTAGGATTCCGCCGTCTCATCATCTCCCTTCCTGAGTTGGGCTAACTGGGTCTGAAATAGGGAAGCGTGGAGGGCATCACGAACTTGATAAGTAGACAAGATATATGCCCATGCTAGCTGCCCAACTTTCTCTTGCTGAGAGAAACCAGAGATGGACATTCGGATGGGTGGAGAAACACATCGGTTCAGCACCATGAATGCAAGCATTTGGCCCTTTGCGTACTCCCTTCGTTGCAAGGGGTTGTTCGGGGCCGGGCTTGGTGCTGTCTCGTTGCAAAACTGCCACAAATCAGCACAATGGAGCTGAGGTCGGATGGCGCTGACCCACGCGGTAAGGTCGTGGCGTCACGGAGATATGTTCAACTCCAAACTTGAATTGACCGTAGCTCGCCCCGATCATTCCCGTGTCAATGGTCCGTGCAAAAGCTCCTCCACCAACGCCCACAGCACTTGGAGCCTCGTCCACAGCTCCTCCTTCACCGTTTCCTCCTTGCTGGCCGCTCGCAGGTGCTTGCTCTGCCGCACGCTCCCGAACCATGCATAGTAGACGACCGTCCACAATGAGGTTGACTTCCTCATCATGCAAGTGAGGGTGGTGCTCATGAACGGACGCCTCCAGCTCCTGACGGGCATTTAGACCCTCAGCGCTCGTTAACCACTCTATGCGCAGTCAAAACGAGCGTTGGCCACACCAACGTGGGAACGAAGCGATGGGAGGACAAAATCAAGCCGCTAGTTGGATCGACGCAGATAACGCAGCTCTGATACCATGTACAATTCCACTACTATAGCAGCTTGATAGAGCTCAGAAGCACGATTCCAACGCACCAAAGATTGCAGGAAACGGTCTACTATATCTAGAGTTACACACAAACATAGCAGTGATAATGACTTGGATGATTTCTGGTTTGTGCTCTCTGGTTTTATACTAGGACGCAATACAAAATAAAAGCACACAAGAAAGTGTCGACTCGGGTCGCACGTTGAATTTCGTCGACGCGAAATTTGGAGCCTTGAATTTCGCAGAGCGAATTCCATTGACTGGAATTCCGGAGCCGATGATTTCCGCGACAAGAATTCTGTCGACCACCGACTGTAACTCCCGTGCGAATTCCGTTGACTTTGACACCTCGCTGCCGAGTTTCAAACCGAACGCGACCCGAGATCGATTTCGCCAAAGTGTCTCCAATCTGTCCTGACAAAACACTTTCGGGACACTTGAATCAAAAGGTCTCCAGTTCGAAACTCGTGTGCACCATAACCAACGCCTTAGCATAAACTATCCTGAATCTGTCCTGAGACACTTTCAGGACAGATTTGAAGGTCACAAGTTTGAATCCCAGCGCAGACATTTTGTTGCTCATGATAGCATTTCCTTCTAACACTTTCAGCCCTTGCTCTCCTCCGACACGCCGAGGTGGAGGCCCCACCGGGCCTTCGGCTGCAGCTTCCCACCACGCTGCTGCTCGGGGACCAAGAACCGCGCCATGCAGCCCCACACCCGCGCCAGCGACAAGTCGGGCTTCTTCCCGGTGAGCAGCTGGTACGGCGTCGTCCCCGGCGGCAGTGTCGACCTCTCAAGGCAGTTGCACACCCAGACTGCCTACCAGAGAGCGAGGTGCCACCAGTGGTGCTACACGCCCATGTGCAGCAGCATCGTCCGCACCGACTCCACCACCGTCCTCATCTCCCGCTCTGCCATGCCGTTCTGCTGCGGGGTGTACGGGTAGGTCAGGTCGTGGACAATGCCCTTGCCGTTCACGAAGTCGGTGAACTGCTTCCCGAGGAACTCCCCACCTCGGTCAGAGCGCAACATCAACACCGACCTCTTCGTCTGCCGCTCAGCCACCGCCAGCCACTGCACAAACTCCCGCAAAGCATCCGACTTCTTGGCGACCGGCCTCACCCACACGTAGCGGGTCTTGCAGTCCTTCGGCAGCAAGAAGTACAGGCTGCCATCCTTGGTAGCCAGGCCGAATGGCCCGCACAGGTCGATGTGCAAGACAGCCAGCACATCATTGGCGTCGGATCCTTTGTCGGGGAAGGTGTGTCGCGCCAGCTTCCCGCCGACGCACGAGACACATGGTGATTCGGCGCTAGACGCCGACTTGAGGTCTAGCCTGGTGGCGACCTCGTGCTTCACCGAGCTCCGAATGGTGTTCATGCCGACGTGTGCAAGCCTTGCATGTATTCTGCCCGGCGTTGCCTTCGTCCCTGAGACGATCGCCCGCAGAGCCACCACCTCCGTGGTGGGCGTCGTCGGCTTCGCCGAGCAGGGACGTAGGTTGGTGCAGAGGACACGCCCAGTGTACATTGCCCGGCCGATTACCTCTCCCACCGCTGAGACGAGCAACATCCCGTCGCCATCCTCTTGCAGCTTCACGCCGTGCTCCTTCAGCTGGCCGGCTGAGAGGAGATTCGCTCGCACACCCGGGACATACAGCACGTAGGGGATGAGCATCTGCTTCCTGGCCTCTCTTTGCAGAGCGGCAGTGCCGTGGCCCTGAATGTCTTGCAGTGCCCCATTGTAGCCACGCATGGGCTTCACGTCGCTGCTCGGCCCCAAGGTGATGAAGGCCTCCTTCGTTCCCATCAGGTGGTGCGAGCAGCCGCTGTCGAGCATGACCACCGCCGGGTTCGCCTGCACAGCTGCCGCCACCGCCTGGAAGTCCTCCCCAGCCTCCGGCGCCAACGAGACGGTCGGCTCCACGACGCCGAACAGCGAGCACGACGCCGCCTTGTCACCTCGCTCCTTGCCGCCAGCAGAGGAGTCGGCGTCCTTCGCCGAGGTCGACCTGGTCGACTTCTTCTCCTTGCGCTGCTGGTTTCCTCGACGGGGACGATGGCTGGCCAACCTCCTGCGGCCTCCCTTGGCGTCGTCGTCGCCGGTATCGCTGCGGTCGGGGCACTCGAAGGACAGGTGGTTGGGGTCGCCGCATAGCCAGCATTCCCGGCATCGACCTCCTCCTCCGCGACCGCTATCCTTGGCCGACTTCTTCTTGTCGGCGTCCTTGCTTGGCTTACAGCCACTGCTACCGCTGCCGCTAGGCTGCCCATGCTGCCCCAGTTGGCCACCTTGCCTCGTTGGGGCAACAAAGTTTGCTTGCGCCAAGAGCTCCTGGGACCGCTCTGCCTCCTGCATCGCCTCATCTTGCTGGATGTACGAGGTCAAGTTGTCCTCGTTGAGTGTCTCCTCGTCGCCCATACGCAGGTGCGTCAACTACCCCTCAAGCTGGGCAATGAAAAGGTCATCGGTGACTTGGTACGTCGACTCGATGAAGTGCCACGCTCGATAGCCGGCGTTGAGGTACTCCCGACACCACTTCAAGGTGATCTGCATGCCCGGCGAGCAGCACCGCGAGATGACCGTGAAGGTCAGCAGCTGCACGGCGCGAAACTCTGCTCGTAAGTCTGCGTGGTGCTCCCCCGGCGTTGCTACGGTCCCTCGGGCGAAGCCGATCAGCCCGGCCATCTCCAACTGGGGCTCGATGGCTTCCTTCCAAGTGAGTAAGTCCTGTCGACCAACGAGCGGCGGGGTGACCAAGATCCTGTCCGGCGTAAAATTGAAGTAGCAGTAGCTCGGGGCAATCCCGCCCGCCATCACCTGGGTCGCCGACATCTGCGACAACCCGCTTTGACGCCCACCGGCGTCGCCCTGCAAGGAGCCTGTAGCCGCCGACGACTGCATTCCTTGTGCCTGAACGCCACCGGCTTCACCGGCGTGTATCACACCTCGTTGCCTCGACGTGCCTCCCACACTGCTGCCGAGCTGGCCTCCACCAGCGTTGACGCCCATGTCGACGCCTCCGTCATTGTTCACCGGTCGAGGAGAGGCAGGCCGAGAAGGGGGGTGCTCCGCCACCCACATGGAGCGGAGTCCTGCCTCGACGACTGCCCAGGGTATCGCCCCGTACTCCTGGGCCTCATGGCGTCTCCTCACATCCTCCAGCTGTGCCTCCAGGATGTCCATCACCTCGGCGTCACCTACGCGCACACTAGTGGCTGCACGGCTGCCGGCCTATGAACACTGTTGGTGCAAAGTCGGCTAGACTGAACTTCGTTGCGGTGTCGTCCACGCTCACCGCACCATGCGGAGATAACTGCTGCAATGGGAGCTAGACTACGGGCTAGGCACAGGTGCTCGTGTGATCTCTGCGTTCCTTAGTCGTTTGCTTGTGTGTTCTCTGCTTGCTCATTCACGGGGAGATTTCGAAAGAGTTTCACTAGCAAAGATCAACAACAATGGTGGCAACAACATTGGCATCACACACTAGATCAGAGCTAGCTAGGCTGCTGGTCGACCTCCAGCGCAGCATGGTCGACCGTGCTCCAGCGCAGCAGAGCTCGCACCGCTCCAGCATTGCAGAGTAGCGGTTCGCCAACGTTGCAAGTCCATGGTGTGCCAACGCTGCAAGTCCACGGCGCCCACGACGCCGTCCAGGCGGTCGGGTAGTCGTGCCGATGCCCAGGTCGGCGTCCAGCTTCCCAAGACGCCGTCCAAGCGTCCAGGACACCAACCAGGCGTCCAGGACAGCGTCCTCCTGCTCGGTGCCCTCCAGACAGGCGCCCTCCAGCTCAGCGCCCTTGCAGTGGCCCCCGTGCCCACTGCTGTAGGTCGGCTGCAACCCCCGCAGATCCGACCATAAGGTCGGCTCCGCCCAAGCGAGGACCGGGCCAAACAACACTCTCGTTGACAGTTCTTGACTACCATATGGTAACTCTAATATGTTTGCACCCCACTGTTCCATGATCTCATATTGCTTGCAAAATGTGGTGGAAAAATGAGACTATGTCAAGAAAAACGTTGGAATGTGCAGAATGGGCGGTTTTCTCGTGGGTTGGTATGTGCGCCTCACTCGTTGCGCAGCCCTTGGGTGTGAGAATGTAGAATAGAACGAGAATGATGAAACTAGGAATGATGGGGATACAAGTAGGAAACCCTAGCAAAGTTGTATCCCTAAGGCTCAACCCACTATAGCCTACACAATATAAACATATAATATTTGACACACCCCCATAGGCTAAGTGGGAGACACCAGATGGTCACAAGACCAGTCAAAGCAAAGGAAAGCAAGCTCAGGGTGGATCTCAACGTCACCACACATTCTGAGCACAAGTTCAAGGCTACAAGGCCAGTTCACATGCATGATTACATATATATAACGCTAAACAAGCAAGAGCAAGTACATATATATGTAACAGTACAAGCAAGGTCAAGAAGTGAGCAAGTGAGGCAAGGTAGGCACAAGACCTAACAGAGTACAGAAGCGCTGATGATCACAAGGCGCGAGTGCCTTGGTGAAGATATCAGCAGTGTTGGCCTCAGAGGCCACGTAATCAAGGCGCAGCTGACCACGCTGCTGCAGCTCACGAGCAAGGAAGTAGCGAAGAGCGATGTGCTTCGTTCTGTGCTCCAGTCTGTGCTCCCGACACAAGGCCAGCATGGCCTTGTTGTCTACGTACAGAACTGGAGGAGAACGAGGCGACTCTCCCAGGTCAGTCAACAGCTAGGTGAGCCAGCATAGCTCTTGTGCAGCC